CTCGGTACACAGGGCCCTACAGAGTGCTTCGTGAGGTAACTCCCGTCACTTATGAAATCACTCCTGCTGCCTCGCCGTCTTCATCTACCTGTAGGCTGCCACAAACCATAGTGCGAATGCGCGTGTGCGCCCGACGAAGAAGAGGAGGCTCGCTGGCTGCTCGAGCTCGGAGCCAGACTGGCCAGTGCTGCAACCGCTCTTGCAAATATATTTTTCGAATATATTCGCAATACTTTGTCTCGTTACTCACGTAACAATATTATTAACAGAATGCTTGAAACTGGAATCTTCCCCTCAGATCTGAAGCTTGCTCGCATATGCTAGATACATAAGGGAGGTGCTATTGGTGATATAAGTAATTACGGACCCATTTCGGTGCTACCTGTGTTATCTAAAGTATTTGAAAATGTCATCAACATGCATCAACAATGCACAATACGGTTTCCAGAAAAAGAAAAGCACTGAGCTAGCTTTGTTACATGTAAAGGATAAAATACTACATGACATTGAAAACAAACTCTACAGTGTAGGTCTTTTCATTGATCTAAGGAAAGCGTTCGATTGCGTTAATCACGACATTCTACTACTGAAACTTAATGACTATGGCATTCGCGGCATCGCCCTAGATCTTTTAAAGAATTATCTTTCTTGCAGAAAGCAGTGTGTCAAAATTGGAGATGTTACCTCCCCTACAACCACGATAAAACAAGGAGTGCCCCAGGGGTCGATTCTGGGACCCTTGTTATTTATATTGTACGTTAATCTTTGTACGTTATATTGTACGTTAGAATCTTTTGTTCCTGACCGCCACGTTAAAACAAGGAGGGCTAATCCCTGGGTAACCCGCGACATTGTACACATTAAGCGAAAACTAAAGTGCGCCAAAAAGAAATCAAACAGAAATCCCGATGGTATTCAACAAATTCAAGCTGAACTTTCTTGCGCACTAACAGCATCCCGAGATAAATATTTTTCATCGACCTTAGCGAGTTTCTTAAAGAATAATCCGGAAAAATTTTGGCAATACTTGGGAAATAAGGCTCCAACTTTAGAAAAATTAAGGGAGAATGACTTAGTAGTTACTGACTTAACAGAAATTTCCAACATTATGAATGATTATCTTCATTCCGTGTTTTCTTCAAAAGATACTACAACTCTCGAACTTGTTCCATCCTTGCCTGATTCGGATTTTATCAGCTTTGAGGGTGTGTTGTCACTGTTACTTGGCGTAAAAGAAAAATCCTCTGGTGGCCCTGACGGCATACCAAATTCTTTCTTGCGTCGATACGCTGAACCAATATCGCATATTTTAACCACTATTTTCTCTGAATCACTCAAAACGGCAACGTTACCAGATGACTGGCGTCTCGCCAGGGTTGTAGCTGTGCATAAGAAAGGTGATCGCCTGCTGAAGGAAAACTACCGCCCAATTTCCCTAACGTCTACATGCTGCAAGGTACTTGAACACATTATTGCTCACTTTATTACCGATTTTCTTGAAAATAATAACCTATTGTCTCCAGCCCAGCATGGCTTTCGGAAAAAATTATCAACGTGCACGCAGCTAGTTACAACAGTTCATGATATCGCACAAATACTTGATTTTTCAGGCCAGGTTGATTTAATTTTTTTAGACTTTAGCAAGGCATTTGACCGCGTTCCCCATGGCAAACTTCTCATAAAGCTCCGAAACCTGAATGTTCCATCTTTCATCATAAGTTGGATAGAGGCTTATCTTTCAAACCGCGCCCAGTACGTTGATGTGGGGGGACATATTTCTAACACGTTACCGGTATTATCAGGTGTCCCACAGGGAAGTGTTTTAGGGCCGATTCTTTTTCTTATATACATAAATGATATAGCTGAAATGGTTGAGTCTAACATTAGTATCCGATTGTTCGCTGACGACTGCGTAGTATATAAAAAAGTGACATGCCAACAAGACCAGGTTGATCTAAGTCTTCCATTAACACAAGTTAGTGAGTGGTGTACTCGGTCGTCAATGACATTAAACTCTGACAAAACGGTACTCCTACGTGTGACAAGAAAAAAACAGCCATTCACGTTTACCTACAACGTCCAAGGAACACCAGTACGTGAAGTAAATGAATACAAATACCTAGGAGTAACCATCACAAACACACTTTCTTGGTCCGCACATATAACAAATGTCTCCGCATCAGCTTCTCGTAAGCTTGGTTTTCTGAGGCACAAACTGAAAAAAGCCCCTCCGAAATTAAAAATGCCCGCGTACAAAGCGTATATTTTGCCTAAACTTGAATATGCATCAGTGGTTTGGGACCCTTTCTACAAAAAAGACATTCAAAAACTTGAAATGGTTCAAAGACTCGCTGTACGTTTTATTTTTTCTAAGTTTAAATCATCTGATTCTCCGACAAAATTAATGAAAGACAACGATATTCCTGTGCTTGAAGATCGCCGCAGAATCGCACGCCTGAAATTCTTGCATTCCATTTATAATGGTAAGCTGAATATTCCTGCCCATAAATACATACAACCATTCTCTCCTCGCGCATCTAGGCATCGTCATATGCATAACCTGCTCCCATACACCACGCGGACTAACACCTTTAAAAATTCTTTCTTTCCCCGAACAATTATTCAGTGGAATAGCTTACCACCTGATGTCATTTCATCTGATGACTTCGAGAAAGCGTTGCTCGGAGCATCTCAACCGTGACATAAGCGCATCTTCTCTGTACTGCTAGTGCTTAATATAATGTTTATACTCTGTATTCATGCAATATCACTTTTTCGGATTGTTGGTGCTCAGTACTTGTAATAGTTGACGCGCTTCCATGTGTATAAATTTGTCTGTACGTATGTGTATATTCTTTTTTTGTGTGCTTTAAGACATCACTCCATTTTCGCCATTATTTATTTATTATTTATTTTTATATGGTCTGTTATATTTTTTCTTAAATTTATTGTATCATCCATTTTGTATTCTTGCAAATTTGATTATTCCTTTAATTTTTTTCTCGATGTTTGCATATTTGTTTATTGTAATGTTCCCCACCTGCTTGGTCTTCAGTGACCGCAGTATTTTCTAAATAAATAAATAAAAATAATGACTTATTTAATATTCCTAACTCTCCCAAGTTAGTAATGTACGCTGACGACACCGTCTTTTTTTCAGCGCACACACTTACTCAGCTTCAGAAAGTGATAAACGAATATCTTGTTCAGTTGGATGGTTGGCTTCACGCTAATAATTCCTAAATAAAAAGAAATCTAATTACGTCCTTTTTAAGCCCGTTAATAAGCCCTGTGACACAGAGCTTACGCTAACGTATCAGGGCACCGTCTTAGAGTGCGTAAAATGTGAGAAATTTTTAGGCATATGGTTTGAAGAAAGCATGTCGTGGAATACACACATCAATAAACTCATTTCAGAGCTAAGCAGACCAGTCGGTATAATATTTAAACTATCCCATTTAATTCCTTTACATCTAAAAAAGGCGATATATTACGCGCATTTCTACTCCCGCTTATCTTATTGCACACTTGTTTGGGGTACCACAACAACTACTAATTACTACAAACTGGAAACAATGCAAAAGAAAGTGCTCAGACTTTTCAAGAACTATTTTGGAGAGCCAAAAGACTTACCCCCAAATCCTTTATTTGTTAAGTATAATTTGCTTAAAGCAACCAAATTGTACGATTATAAACTTTTCTTGCACATACAGAAACATGATCTGATGGACACGGCACATGCCACATCAAGACGTTATCCACTACGTAATACACAGACACCAATACCAAGAACACGTACGAACTACAGAAGGTCAGCCCTCACTTATCAGATACCTGCACTAATAAATCGTGTATCTTCACAAATAAATTTTGATATCCCATTCCATAGATTTAAAAAACAAATAAGACTTTTCCTATAAATGACTGTGCAGCCGTTACAGCATAACCTCATTAACTGTCACTGCACCACTGTTCTTGCATTGCATTTTTTATACGTTCAAACGTTTGCATCTTCGGTATGTGCAGTTATCCTAGTTATATGGGTGCATTTTAATTTCTGATGCATTTCCCTGTTACATTCATTTCGCTGTATCTGTGCATTTTTGTTGTACCTCCTTATATTTACTTTGCTATGTACTGATGCTATTATATCTTGTCAAGTTGTATAAGTTATATCATGTCGTGTTAGTTATACTTTTTATTCGCTGCTGCCTGTACGGTCCCCCAGGTCCCTTCAAGCTGTTTTTCAACAGCTTTTTTGCCTGGGGAACCCACAACTTTTTGTGTTGGAAATAAACGCAAACCCAGGATGTTGCGAGATCGAGATCGAAATCGAGGTGCCTTCTTCCTTTTTTAAAGAACCACTACCATCACCTTACTCGTCAAGCACATGCAGCAGGCCACGGTATTTTTTCCCTTTTTTTTTCTGCCCTCCGTTCATTCACTCCGCGTCCACTCCTCCTCTGTAACAACCTTGTTGCTCCCTCCCCAGCAGGGCATCCATTGCACTTCATTTCAGAAACACACTAGCTATCAAGTTTGTCACAAAAGTTTTTTTGGCAAGAGCGTTATAATCGGTTGTCTTCCATCTTAGGGAGACTGCGCATTAAGCTGTATGCGTATACATTGGGTTCTATGAGAAGGTAAACAAGAGTCAAAAAACACCGCATTGTAACTGGTCCTGCACTATAAGTGGCTACGTTATAAGTGGTCTACACTGTATCAAGGTTTAACTGTACCAACTGCTGGCCCTGAAATTGAGCTGAAGCTGAGGTGTAAAAGAGAGATGCAACATTGTACACATTCTTTCTGTCTATATACCTGGTTTAGCAAAGGCAGCGCACATGAGATGGCACTAACATTTACTAGTAAATACTTATGTAATTATGTAAATGCTACTGGGCTTTCAGTTCTTGGTCATTTTGGCACTACCATGAAATACTAATGAGGCTGAGCCAATGCAAATGAATGATCTGCATAAATGCGGCTAAGTGACTCACCTCTCCTTCAAGTTCCTTGTCAGTTCGGTGTGAGTCCAGCATTGGAGCCACTATATTCACCAGTTCCTCCACAGAGAGGCCCAAATTATTGCTTTTCAGAAGAGCCATCTGCACCTGAGTCCTCAGCCAGTCTCCATCGTAGCGGCTCCTTGGCTCGGTAACAGTGGGCTCCTTATAGCTGACGTCCAAGCAGGCCTGGTCTTGGACAAACAGTTCGTCTTCGGAGCAGGCATCCACCTCATCATCCATGAGTTGCTGGAAACTGCCCACCTTGATGCGGCGAGCGAATTCCGTGGCCTCAGGAAACGAGTCTTCCAGGCTGTCCTTCTGCTCTAGCAGCAGCTGCTTCATTTCCGGCGTCAGCCAGGAGAAAATTTTTTGCACCGAGGCACGTGCCTTGTTGGCCAGCTCGGCAGGAAAGCTGCCAAAAGCCCTTCTGAGCTGCTGGCGTTGATGTTCGGTGACATGGCCGTGACCCCCGTCAGCTTCTTCAAATATTTCCAGCAGCTGCAATGCTCCGGCATGCAGCACTTCCTCAAGGCAGTCACCACCAGCTAAAGGGATGCAAGTAAAAAAAGAACAACATTGGCAAACAGTAGCAGCTCACGCTCCGGGCTCCTCCCAACAGAGAACTGTTGATTGCTTCTGGCAAGGTCTTTTGCATATGAGAGCACCTGACTTTTAGTGGTGACTTACTAAGCATTGATGCACCCAATCACACTGTTATCTCTCACACCAGCTAGAATTCTGTTTATGCCCACCACAAATGCATTCTGTGTTCCACAGAGACCACAAACTGATGATGGACCAGAGTAATGGGAACGACAACATTTTTTGCATGGAGTAACTAACCTTAACATTCGAGTAGTGAAGACAGTTTTACTGCTTAAGAGCATAATACATTGTATCCACATATACAGCAAAGTAAGCATGAGCACCATTGTGCCTTACCACTACACTGAATTACATTCAATGTTTAATCTGTCAATAAGCTATTAATCAATACTCTTTTTCACTTCCATTCTTAAAAAATCATGTCTTCATGCCATGACCGAGAGCCTTGAAAGACAAGCCTTTGCTTTATAGACGTTTCCCAAGTTTTTGTTAACCTCACAACAATTAGGGGTTACTCAAAAATGAGCACCAGTCTCGACAATCAACTTGCAGGCTGCCTGCAGAAAACTGCAAAAATGTAGTTGTTTCGTATTTGAATACTTTTTCCCATAATGGATTAAAAAAAAAACGAGCTCAGTGAGCGTATGTTTCTATTGCCCTATCTGCACCAGATAAGTTGTCTAAGATATGCAGAATTCCCTGAAGCAGATTCCAAAAAAAATTGCAGCATCTACAGTCGAGCCCACATACAACAGCCCCATCTAAAATGTACAATACCTGCGTGACCGTCGAAATATAAATCATTTCAATCGCACAAAATCACACAATGAACAGCTCTGAGCACCACCCATGAGTTAAAACAAATGTAGTCAGCGCTCTGGCGACTTCTCGAGACGGAAACACCCTTGTTCGACCACTAATAATTAGGCTTGTGTGAACATTCGAACAAATATTACTACACTCGAATTTTCTACGATTCCAATTTAAATTGTTGAAAATTTCGAAGTATTTAAAATGAACGAATAAATGTATTTTAGTCTGCATGTAACCCACTGTAAGGATGGTTTCGCTGCAGTAGAGAGGTGTTAAGCAATGAAAGCATCTACTTGGATTAATACACATGTACCTCTTTGTACAGACGGTTTCACTTCACTAGGAGTGTGCTAAGCCATGACAACACCAATCCAGGAGGAATCCGCAGTGCCACAAAGCCTCACTTAAGGTTAAATGAACACGCCCTCACACTAATTTATAATTTTTTCGAGTTTAAAAGCTTGTTATAGTGGCTTTTATGCTCTAAGTATAGTGAATTTTAAAACATAACATACTTTATAGGTCATCCCTTGCACTCTGGTGAAAAAGAAATCCTGTTCCTATTCAAAGTTGTTGCCACTTTTTTGAAACATGAAAAATTGCATTTGCAAAGGCCTCGTTTCAATTTACCCAGCACCTCCACCACTTATGAGGAAGAGCTTTATTTGAGGCGAGCTCGAGCTGGCACACACTGATGATGATATCTACAGATGAGGAAATTATACAAATGATGATGACACGTCCAATCGATAAAGAAAATCCGGTGACTGTGCTCATATTATATTTATCGAGTAGATTAGTGGGTCATGACAAAATACGCCCATTTTTCTTTATAGTATGTAATATACACTATTTGAATTCGTTTCGAAACTTATTGACTGAAGTCCCTATTTGCCTATGCCAAGTTTTGGTGTGCCTAGACGCAAAAGCGGCTATAGGACTAACAATTCCCTATGACACTTCTACACTCAATGTGATCCGCCTTTCTGTGCAGCATGAGATGATGCTATTCTCTTTCCAGACAAATGACGAGTTTGCGATGCACATTTTCATGCTGGGGACATCTTGAAAACATACAGCCACATTGCTAAAGGGACGAAAGTTGCAATCACTCGTGGTAATGAAGAGATATCTTGTGCAGGAAAGTGTGCCTGAAGTTTTTTCTATCCTGTGAACAAAAAAAAAGGAAGGAAAAAAGAAAACATTCTACATCAACAAAAGACGGTCGAAGAAAAATGCTTGAAGCACTTAAATCACCCATCGAGTCTAAAAGCTGCACATATAACTCAGACTTCCCATCGGCAAGTGGTGCGCTCAGTTTGACCGATATTGAAAGTGTTTGTTTGCCGTTTGTGGGTTGGCACAGCACTGCCAAATTTGATGAAAAAGTTAGTGTCGTGGCCTTTAATGCAATTAAGGCTGGAGAGCACACACTAGCCACTGAAAACCTTCATTGTCATTGAAGATATGCCAGTGAATTGACACTGTTACTCTGACACTGTTACTGCCCTTCCGTAGCAGAATCGCTCGCATGTGCTGACACATTAAATGTGTGCCCAGGCGGCAAAACAGTGTGTGCATGGGCGCTACTATATGAAGGAGGAAGTAACTCTTGTGAATACATAGTGCTGATGTCCCGAAACCATGATATGATTATGAGAGATGCCGTAGAGAAGGACTCCAGAAATTTGGATACCTGGAATTTTTTAAGTGCACCTAAATTCAAGCGATTCTGGCTCCATCGAAAATGTGCCTGCCACAGCTGGAATTCAATCACCCCCTAACCACTAGACCATGATGTGAAGTAATAACCCAGCTGCATAATATGTTCGAAGCTGAGCCTCTTATCAGCTAGGGCAAAATCCTGTCCCGACTGAGTGACTCGTGACAAATGCATAACTTAGTCATGCGCTTGCAAGAGCTGATTTCTGCGAATGCACTGTGCCGCATAGTCGTACTGCATAGCGGTGTTAAACAATGTTTCCTAGCCTTCTTGACATGTCTTGGGCACTTAACAAAAAATATCATACTGATAAGTAATACGAAGGATGTGAGCACCGCCCAATGCACAGCTCTATGGTTTCGATGAAATTTCGTCACACACAGCACTAACCAAAACCTTTGTAGTCTTCCACGTGAGCTCAAAGTCAAAGCTGCCTGCTTTGTCACTGAAAAGTGAGCAACACTAATGCTGGTCCAGAAAGGGAAACAAGACCACTACCCGTTTGTAGCACCGCCATGTGCACCAAGCACTCGGCGCCTGCAACATAAAACCACGCTTTCAAACATTCTTTCCAACTTAATAAGCCTTCACGGTCACCTAAAAACAAATATTACTCGTTCTTCTTCTTATGTTTTTAAGCAATTCATTATTTTTCTGCATGCATGCCATTCACTCGGGCTTCATTGCGTGTTACATAGAGCCTGCTGCAGTAGCACCACCAGGCCAGAAAGTCGGTTGTTTCACTTCCGAGTATGGCGGAGACTGAGAGTTTGGCAAGTTCTATAAATGTCGCTTCTTGCTCAAAACTCACTCAGCACCTGACGCATGGATTAGGAGCTCTCATGGCCAGGAATGCATCATGGGGCCTTTGGACACCCTACACAACGAACGCCATTCCATACTTCACTAAAAGAAACTCATGCATACCAAACAATCCAATGAACACCCCATCTGAATTTTGAAATTTGGTGTCATTGCTCCTTTAAGCCTGTCCAGTGCACAGTGAACGTTATATACTGTATCTTTATTGTGTAAAAAATTGTACGCACACCAGATGGACAAGTGGCTCAATTCTAGTTTACCTGTGCACAAGTACAATGTAGAAAAATATGAACAAGGCAACCTAACTGTTCGATATGCAAGTGCCTTCCTTTGTACATTAAGTCAAGTGTCATCTCTAAAAACCAGGAACGGATCACTTGTTAAACGATACAAGTGGACATAAGCTTTATGATCAGTGCACCTGCACTCATTTATTAGCACTTCTTTAAAATGCTGTGATTATCTGTTCCTTGTGATGTGTCAATGCTATAAATTCTGTGTTTCGTCCAAATCGATTAGTTGGAATTTGTGTGTTTGTCCATCGTTCTTGCACCGTTTTTCGATGACCATGAATAACCACAGCACAGCACTTGTCCTGTGTCTTCCTACTTCTCCATCTTCGTTTTTCGTACTGTTTATCTTAAAAATGAAAAAATAAAAAAATTAATAACATACTAGGCCGATTCAGTATTATTACATAAAAAAGAATAAGGGGTGTAAAAGCATGAGTTGCTCTGAAGATTTAAAAGCAAGTTTCAAAGTCCCAAGTGATGGTGATGAACCAGGCATCCATTGTAAACAAGCCAAAGTTCACTTGCACCGATTCCCAGTGTCAAGGCACCAAGAAATACAAAAAGCATATACAATGCCTAAAAAGATTCCAACTAGCAGATTAGTGAGTCTGAATACAATTGCATTGGAATGTTTCACTGCTGAAGACAAATTAACAGAAATAAATTCTTCAATCATTGCAAATAAATGCTGCAAAGTGATGGGCATTAGAAGGGCTGCCAAAGAAATTAATTTTCTGTACAGTGCCACCAGCTACTTGAAGTCTAGTTAATAGGGGTAAGGCATGTCAAGTTAGAAATAAAAAAAAATGGCAGGCTCATAAAACATATTTTTAGAAAAGACAGAGCTCAAGAGCACTTGGTGTGTATATCACCCACCTCTTTGGAAGTTATGTTATACGAATCTTTTGGGAATTCAGGTGTCTTCACCAGTTGCGCAACTCCATTTTGCCTCGAAGAGCTCTTGCGTCCCTCTTTTTTCGACTGGGCGGATGTCAGATTGTCCCAAACCACCATCACTTCCCTGCCACCACAGCACTCGAAGATTTAACACAGCCCAATTGGCCTAATTTTTGTGGGACTAGGGCCTTGCTTGCGTGACAAGTGAAGGCACAAGGTGAGGTTCAAGGAGATCGCTTCAGAGGTCGCGTATGCATTTTAGCCGCTTTGGTACCTTGTTTTTCGTCGCTGGCTGGTGGTCACATTGTCTTGTCAGAGCCCCAGCCTCGGCAATCATGCGCTCATTTTCGCAGCCCCAAAGCATCACTTCGTAATCGTGCAACATACGTTT